TTTTTAAAATTGTGTGAATCATTGCAACGTCACCTAACTGCACTGCTTTGTGAAGAGACATTGTGTTCGTAGTATCCATAATTTTTTATTCCTTGAATAATAGTACAACAACTAGTTAAGGTGTTGCTACTCTAAAAAATTCACTTAGAATTGGCAGGTCAAGCCTGGATGATGACGTGTTTATAACATACGAGCATCAAAACTAAAGAAAGTGACAAAACCTATTGTAGTGTGAGTATATACGACTCACAATTCTCGCAAGTTAAGATAACGGTTTCAGTATCAGTACAGTAAGTATATCAGTGATAACTAATACCATCTTGATTTACTTAGGTGCTTCTAGTCCATTACTGGCATGAAGCGGCTTAAAAAACTGTTAATTACCGACCTTAAAGTTGTTTTGAGCAGTAAATAAAGCTTAAGACAATAAATAAAAATTAGTTGAAAAAACTGGTCAGCATAACAACAATAAGTTTTTTTTTGGCTTACGAAGCTTATGACGTACTGAATTATTTAGTTACAAATATTAAACAAAAAAATGAGCTTTTTTAGTAACTTCAGTAAGGTGGGTGTTAATAGTTGTACTTCACACAAATCGTGGGACAACTCTAACCAATTAAAAAACATAATGTAACACACATACATATACTGCATATTTTTGAGGTTTCTAAAATGGATATAAATAAATGGTGAGAACGTCGTGCATAAATACAGTACTCACGAAGTTCAACCATCGTGAGTAGCAAAACTTTTTTTTTTTTTTTTTTTTTTTTCCTCATTTTAGCTTTTAACTTTCTTCCTCGCGCTGACCTTGCACACGTGTGTACGTTGCACATAGACGTGCAGTAGGTGGACTCGATGGAGTTTGATGTATGAAGCCTCTGGGATACATATACACGTATAAGGATCGAAAAACCATATCTCGTGTATACAATCTCGATTTGAATGCTGTGTGTCTCGTGTATTTTAAAATAGGTTAGACACGCGCGCTCGGAACTGAAATTTATCGCTTCGCTAAGTGCATAATATGTGGACCGCGAGAGTCTTGTCTCTCTCTCTCTCTCTCTCTTTCTGGCGATGTGTTTCGAAATTAGCGCGCTTTTCTTTTCCGATACTTTAGTCGCGCCGCTGATGCCAACGAACCAACCGATCGCGATACCGATTGGCAATATTTATCGACCGTCTCTCGGGGCCTTTTTTCCACCATATGAATTTCCGTATGCGCTGAGATTTTGTGTACCGTGTGTACGTTGTCAAACAATGTTCTAGGTGCTAATGGTGTACCGATCGCATCTCGGTAAAATCGGCCGATCGCGACCGTTCGATCTTCAACATCTTGATCTTCCATTAATTTTATCGATCTACATTACGCCCAAAGCATGTACTCGAAGAACCGCGTGTTTTCTTTTCTCTCCCACACTCGTTAAGAGGAGGTTGAATCATAGGTTTTTCCAACACACGTCTCATTTTCATGCGTACACGTCGATTTATCGATCTTCGCGAGAATACACCCTAAATTGTACAACGAGCGAGAGTTGACAACTCGGAGAGAATGGAGCAATGATTAACTGGTTCAATTACCAACAACCAACAGCGATACGATCGCTTCNTGTTCAACATCAAATTAGTATTACAAACATTAACTATATAGAATTTATATAATCTACTTGCCAGTAAACTCTCTGATGCTCGGAGGTGTGATGTGGTGCTGATGTGGTGCATAGTGAATGCCCTCCAATGACCAATAGGTGTCCCTTAAGGTAAAGGGCCCATTTTTAAGACAACAAAAAAAAATTATTCCTAACGAATTTAGGGCAACTGACGTCTTACAGCCACAATAATGCTGCTATCATCATCTTCAAATAAGGTTAGCATCCTAATTTAACAAACACTATTAAGGGCATGTTGGTTAATAATTAATATAACATTATTTTTTATGTCTAGATCAAAGAAGAAACTTTTTTTAGATACTTGTATGTATAAGGAATAAAAACCGACCATTACACTGCTAAAGATTTAGTAAGAATAAATAATATTTAATAAAAAAGAGACCAGGTGAAGATGTCCATAGTTAACGAGCACTGAGCTTTGACATTCTAGTAGTTCCAACGACGTGACTTAATTTAACGAACGCAAAAATTTATAATTTAATGCGTTTTATTTGTATATTTACAAAAATTACTTAACAAAAATTACTTTGGAATTAAAATTACTTTAAGAAATAACAAAAGCATTGTCCAAGCAAAAATCGTGAGTAGTTAAACATTTTTTTATTTTTTTATTTTATTCGTTTTTTAAGTTTTTGTTTTAGTAAACAACATGAATGCAGTACTAACGTTTACAGNAGAGAAATGATGTCAAAGTGGTGGTGTGCTGGAATTTTTTAATAAAATTTAATTGATGTTTGAGTACATAGGTTTTGCTCTGTTTGACTTTTCCTCGGGATAATGTACACAATTCTGTCAATTACTATGTACCTTTGGAAATGTGGGATTCGATCGGAAAAAAAAAAAAAAAAAAAAAAAAAGCGGCGTGTTATTCACGCCACGCACGAGCGACGACCAAAGCAAGCTCGTGTGCCCGCGACAAAAAGCCCCCCTCCTATTTCTTAGAGACTCCCGGTTGTAGAGAGAAAGAGACACTCCTCGAGCCTGCGATAGTACGGGCAACAATCCGAGAAACGTCGCGTGCTAATGTGTACACAGAAAACTGGTCCCTGCCTATGTACCCATACTCTCTATCTATCTACGAGCGCGTGTTTGCTCTTCGTGCACGTATCTCCAGTACCTATACCCACACATGGGCAGGGCAAAGTGACAGCGGCCGCGCCCACGGCTTTTTAACGCCGCCTGTACGGTCTAGGTCGCGGAGTGTGTCCCATGCAACTTCTCTCTCTCTCTCTCTCTCGGTCTGAGTAAGCAGGTGTTTTGTGTACTTACTCGCTCACATTCGTCATGCTCTCCGATCGAGGGAAAGAAGCACGGACAGGTGAGCTGGAGTTAAAGAGCCTTTTTTTTGTTCACGTGGACTCTGTTTGCTGATGCACATTTTTCCGAGAAACCCTGGTGAAAGCAGAAAATTAATTTCATCCACAGATGCGACGAGGGCTACAATTATAATACCGATCATGTACATGGACACGAGATGCAGTGTGGCTCTTTGTGTAAAGGTTCTTTTGTTCCTGGTCCTTACGTAAAACGCGGGGTACCCATTTCTGGAGAGGAGTCACATTCTCGTTAATATCGGCTTTTAATACATACAGGCAATTAATTTTTGTTTCCTGTTGACCAAGATGTTGACACGATTGAGGTGTTGATTTGAAATGTCGTTGTACAAAGCTCAATGAAGGATTCTTCATGAATTACCGGACAATGGGATAGTGGTTAGCCGAGCAGCGCAGCTATAGTGTGTGTTGGAAAGGGCACGAATAAAACGATGTATTATGTGGAGTGACGCAAAAATGCACAAGATATTCCTTTTCTTTGCTGCCATGTGAGAGTCATGTTGTACTTCTTATCGGGATGCATCTGACATATACGTGGCTTTTCGAAATTTCATTCTTGTTGTGGTGCGTTTCAGCAAATTTGTTGTTTCCCCGATACACGCACGTTTAAGAGAATCATCGAGCGAGACGATCGTGGGGCTCGAGAAAAGTGTCGCGAAACTTTCTGTCGTAGCTCTTTCTGGGACTAAGAAAAAAAAAAGAAAAAGATTCACCCAACGCAAAATGTGATATGAAGCTAGTCGTAATTTTCTCCTTCTCCGGTCTTTCTTCTTGGGGTTTTGTACTTACCTGCTAATTTTAATGCAGTATACGGTTAAGATGACAGCATGTGAGAATTTATGGCTGGGACACAAACTGCCACGCTGATACGCAGCTCCGATAGTTCATGGTACTTACACATATCAAGGCGCAATGTTGTCATGGTGAGAGTCCCACGATTTTTTACAGATATCGGAGATAGTCTACTTTTGCTCTTAAACTTCCTTCATTTTTTTTTCAGGGCTGTTTTTGTAATTATTGTTTCGTTAATTTTAAATCCAATCTTTTAGTTTTACAACTTGTAGTCTTGGATATTTAATTTTCATTTCCTAGTAAGTACAGTCGATATTAATAGTTAATCTTTATAGGTGTATTTTTTTATTTGTCTGTAAATCTATATATCCAGCTTTACATCTGTAATATCTGAATCTTTAAACTAGTCTCGTCTGGTGATTCTGTCGCTACCCAAATGTGAATGTCTTTATGTGACGTGCACATTCATCAGTATAACTGATCATATTTCACAGCAATCATTTAATATGTACTTATACGTTGTTAGATTCACCCCTGACTCTAAACGGATGTTTGCAGTTGTTTCTTTACCTTTGCATTTATGGTCTTATGTACTAAATACTTGATCCCCCTATTTTCATTTTTACACATGTACCTTTACGTTTATCTTTTTGTCCGATCCAATCGACACCATTTTTATATGCCTTTTCGTTCATCATCTTCCTGCAGATTTTTTGTTTAATTTGACTTACAATTTAGTGCGATTTATTGAACTTCACCATTTTGGTACGTAAGCAAAACATATTGAGTGTAATATGATGGCAGACAATTTACTTGTTAATATTAGTATTATTCTAATACGCAATAGTTGTTTGCTTTATTAAATACGTATATAATATTCGACATGAAGTCTATAAGTTTGCGCAAAGTAAGCTGTAGGTTGTTAATTATACTCATAATTTAACGAATATTAGGCTGTAGACTACTTACGATAACTCTGTAATACATTGGGGGTGATGACATATACATACCTGTAATGAGAATGTTCACCATCAAATGAGTATTACAAACATTAACTATATAGAATTTATATATTCGCGCGCTAGCAATTAACATTAGTATTTTGTAACCAATAGCGTGCGTACGATGGTCCTGCGTGACCACCAATCATAGCGCTCCACGTTTAAGTTACTTTGGCTGCTCACGACTGCTAGCCTGTGAGCATTTAGTCAGTCCGCAATGATCGAAGGACCATATGTTCAATGTTAAATGGTCCAAGTAATTTTTCTGCTATTTTGTCTACAGCTTCAACGAATTGATTCCAGTCAGAATCTAATGCAGCGTGTTGTGTTAGACAACCTTTCATTACATTTTCACACATATTATTGCAAGCAAGTACTTTTTCGTTAATACCGCTGCATGATGGACATAACGTCATTCACGTGAGAGCAGCAGAACACTCATCTGTAGCTTTCAGCTAGAAGAGATATTATAAGTTATTCGTTAATTATAGAACACTCATCTGTAGCTTTCAGCTGTTGCATTTTTTTAAATACTTTTGACGAAACCTGAAGAGCTTGACTAAAGGCTCTAGTAGCTATAAATGAGCGCCTTATTGGTACTCCTAGTTTCTGAGGAATATCACCGAATGGTTTCATTTCCTTCATATGCTGGCCCACACATTCAAGGTACTTATTATCAAATTTGTACTGACTATTCAAAACAGTAAACATTTTTTGATAAAGAGTGTTAAAGAATGTATTCACAACTTCATCTAAATTTCCCCAGCATTTTGTATAGTATGTTTCTAGTTTTTCAAATAAATCTGTAAAAACATTTGCGTTCTGTTCGCATAAAATACCATATGTCTTCTTAAACATCTCGTGGAAACTTCTTTTGCTTGTCTTCAGTAACTTGTTGAAAAAGTCATGAAACTTAATGGCCCTTGTATGTAATATGTATTGCAGTCATTGAAGAGTCTGTTTTGTTGCTTTATCATGTTTATCTTTTGCATTCATATGTAAGCGATCCTCCATGTCTGAGGTACAGCAAACCAAGCCACCACTGCTTATTCCTCCACATATTCTGAGTTCTTTTGATGGAATAGGCTCCTTAGGTATTTCATCTTCGAAGAAAAGATTGGTTAAGTACATCCGACAGTTATTTGTTCAATACTTGCTAATATTTGACGAGTTAAAAAAAACGTAATGAATTTTGAAGCCTTACTTGAACTTTATTTATTAGATTGTTGATAGTAAGTGAAACAAATTTTTCGAAATCAAAATGAGTCGACATCAGAGATGGAAAAGATCTAATGAAGTTACACTAGACAAATTAAGAAGAACTAGCATTTAAGAAGTAAAAATTTAGAATTCACAGCTTACAGTCCACAAATTTTTGTATCGGAAAGCTGAGTCATCATAAACTTACAAGAATACTGCGTCGTATTATTTCTTCAGTACTATAAGAAGAGAAGCAAGCACTGGTTCTCTTTAGTACAAAAAAAATGATTTAATTAGTTTGTTAGCCCTAGTCTCTAGTTTGATTATTGATGATAAAAATCACGTAAAAAGGAAAGACGTTAATCAATCAAATGGTAATTTGTTGCTCCAAAATTTCCAATTTTCTTACAAGAATAATTCTTCGATGCCCATTTATGTGAGAAATGTTCGGTTGAAAAAACATATCCAAAAAATTAATCTCCTTATTAATTACAAAAAGCCAATTACAAGCAACTATGGTAAGTTCTGCAGAAGATACTACTCATTCACCACTACCTTTGTGCAACATCACGGCACATAAAACAGTAGAACCCAAAATCAGCAGTCACTCGTGCATATATAGTAACAAGAGAGGTAAAAGTCGTGGTCGTCGTCGTTGTCAACTGAAAATGCATGCACACGTTACCGAAAATAGAAAGTCGATTGCTCAAGCTCACGTGTATATACCCGCCGAGCAGCACAGCCTCGCGATTATGCGAGTTATAATTTATTGGGACGTAATCGCGAGAGTCCCGCGGGGGTCGAGGAAGTTCTGCTCGCTGCATTGGCATTCGATGGGATATTTTTAACTTTGTACTGGAGGAAAAGCGTGCAGTGGCTTCGCGAGGATACACGTAACAACGTCCAGGTCGTTTCTTTGCATTCGTATTGCGTAATCGAGGATGTTTTCTTTTGCAGCTGGATAAAAAACGGAATATGCATGTATTTTTGTGTATGGGTCAAAACAAAGGTGTTGGAATTCCTTATATTTTAGGATCTAGAGAAGCTGACGTAGGCAAGAGTCATTATGTTTGTGGAGTTTTGTTTGCTAGTTACCATACTATTTATGGACAATATTTTCAGTAACCGCTAGTTCGTACGATTTCACGTGAAAATTAGTCACTGGGGCAGCTGCCTGAAATTCCTCCTATGTCCTCGACTCGTCTACCCTGAAATTCTTTGTAGATTGTAACAAAAAGAGAATCAGGGAGGAGGGCGAACACAGCAAACGGCAAAAAGGAACAACACAAGCACGAAACAAGAAAACACATTCGATGATATACAAACCAACATGTATCTCTCCGTAGCGCGTGTTCCCCTGTTCGGATCTGGTCGTTAGTGGCCTTGGCGGCGAGATGTTTCTCATATTTATAACGTTAATGCACTACAACAAGCCCTGCGCGCATAATACACGTGGACCTCGAGCGTACGCGAAGAAAAGTCAAAGGACGCGGATGCCGCGCGTACACATACTCGTGGGCTCCTATATAGCCCGTGTGTCTGTTGCAGCGTCGACGTCTTTTTCGTATTGTGCGGTGGTACATGGAGAGTCTCTCATCGGGACGCGTATAAACCATCCACGCGCTATCATTACCATACGCGCGAGTTATAAAGGCATACGTCTGGGCAAGTCGCTGAAACAAATCACCGGGAGATGATTAGGGATGTGCTGTTGTTGGCGTACACGAGAATGTTTGAGGTGTCTGTTTAGTAGATTTTTTACGATCGCCTCGCGGTTAGACTCCAAAAATGTCTGTAATTATATAAGGTGAATGTCCCATTTATTGCTGACTCGAGCAGACGAAATGTCCCAATTATAGTCACTCTATTTTTCTTTTTACATGCCTCAGATATATTATTAATGAATAACAAGGTGCATTTGTATCAAAAAAATTATTTTTTGGTGACCCAGTAACAATTTATTTATGTTTGAAGAAATGTTTATTAAGATATAAAAAAAAAATGATCGATAATAGGGACATGAGAGACAATTGGGACATTTACTTTAGGTTACTGATTTGTTTGTGGTTCTTTCGACGTCGATTCAACTACCTTTAATTATTGCGATGGTTGGTGTTTTTTGGTGATGGGATTCTTCAGACATTTTTTGACGTCATCACAGCTGACCACGTTATGAACTACTTTTTTTTCTTATTGAAAATAAAAAGCTGTTAATATATTGTTGCATTGTCCCATAGGGATTTTTGACACAATATTTTGAAAAACAGATAAACAGTATCAGTCCAACGTTATGTCGTTTTGAAAAACAATTCGGTTTGATGCAAGTAACTAGTAGTTGCTCTTTGGTTTATAACTGAGGAGTAATAAATAGAGAAAAACCTTATTAGCTTGATCTCAAGAAACACAGTTTTCAACCTGATGAATGATGAAAAGTCTTGAACTGCAAAGTATCGATCGGAAAATAATCCAAGTGACCTTTAAATCTCGATCTCCTCCAGCTTATCACCCCTAAGATTCCATCAACCGCATCACTCGAGATCTGTCAACATTGACTCGTTCGATGGAAGAAGTGTCGACAATAAATCATAAAGTCACATGAATCACAAGGGCCGAGGCACATAATATAGAGTCATTCACCTTTTTCCAATTACAACGGTAAAAACGTATTAAATAACGCTCGCCGGCAAAATTAAATTCCACCCCGCGCCTCCCGACCGATCAATACCCCACTACACGTGTGCCGAACGAATTCACCAAATTAAGTTCCTTTGTATTAAAAAAAAAAAAAAAAAGAAAGAAAAAAGTAGGTCCCGCGCGCAATAACGAAAAAATCTCTTTCCAGACCGGAGCCGCCAGCGGACAATGACGCAGGGGGGCCTCGGCCAGAACACAATGCCCGCTCATTTTTCAGCTGACGCTGCACAGCGCTCGTATATATACGCTCTTCGGCCCGGACACGTCATAAATGCTCCTCGTCCTTTCAAACCGAGATCAAGATGGATCTCACGCTGACGCACAGCAGGTGAGTCCTGTATGACTGACTGCCAAGTTAATTGTCCAACAATGATTTTTCGGAAATGCAATGGTACGTGCACGCAAGTGGATTGCTTGGCTTGGTATGTACCTTCGAGGAGTCTATCTTTCTTTATATGGTTGTACCAGGAAATTAATAAATCAGCCACCAAATGAATGTGACTGTGGATGGGGAGGAATGACCCGCCATGGACAACGTTTGACGCTTCTACTATTGTAGGCACTTTGTTCGTACGCACATATATGTTAATTATAAGCACCTATATGATTAGGCAACAAGCCCAGCTTCACGGCTTATTTATCCTTGCACGGAAGCGCGGGTTGTTAAATATACATAAACTTTCAGATTTTCAGAATCATGAGGTCAAGCATGGAAGCGTACAAACTGTAGTTCAACAGTTGTTGAGTCATGAAAAGTTAATGGTTGTTAATTCTATATGTTTCTAAAAATTTTTAACCAGTGCTTGGCCTATGGAGCTTGTGCTAAGTACGTAAATTGATGTATTGGAGTCCTTGCAAGGTGTGCATAATTCCTTAGACTTTGAACTATGTTGATGTGCACACAGTTTTTTATATTGAAGTATACATCTCTTGAATTATTTATAAAAATATTATTTGAATAATATAGTCTATTTTTATGAATTTATGAAGACTTCCAAAAGCTATCTTCTTCTAATGTACGTATTAGTAAAAAACAAATAAAATAATAGAATTTTTTAAGGATTTAAAAGTATGTATACATACAGCATAGTTCAAGGTATTCTAATTCTGTCTTGAAGAGAAAAAGACATACATGAAGGTATCATGACTACCAAACTAGCGATTTGTGACTTGAGCGATGCATTTTTAAGATTAAAATATTCTTAAGTAGAAACTTGGTAAGACACTTTAAAATATTCTAACACATGCGAAGGTCTGATACGACGAAGTAAGCGATAAAATAGTAGATATCACTAATGAACTTTTAGTTTCGTCATTACTCGTTATTTGGAAAACATACGTATGGCAAGAAGACACCTCCAGTGTTCCGTAGTATTACAGTAACTATGCTCTTAGATCATCACCTTTTCTAGTCTGAGAGTTGTATTTACGTACGTCTACCAAACTTTTAAGACAATTCTGTTACTCTTGCACAGAGCAACAACTATCAGAATTTATCATAAATCTCGTTGTTTAACGTTGTTTAATTAACAATAAGGCATTTTTACGAACTAGCAAAATAACCTAACAAAGATGGACAATGAGGATGAGAAGACTCTTCACGAAGCCGTTATTTCTAGTGACGTTGCGGCAGTAAAAAAAATTATACTAGGGTAAATGTTGTATCATAACTTATCCAAATATTTTAAAATCTTGTAACAAAAGTTTTTCCTAACTTTCCAGAGATCCAGCGTGTGTGAATTATTGGAATCGTTATTTTCAAACTCCTTTGCACGTAATCTATGAAAACCTTGATTTTGAAGATCCTGTACAGCATGCAGATAGACTGCCAATATTGAAACTACTTGTGGATCATGGAGCCCATTTGGATACAAAAGGACCCTTCTTTGAAACTGCATTGCACATGACAGTCCAGAAAAATCAGGTAAACTTTTGATAGTTGTAAAAAGTGACCAAATTTATAACAAATCATCTAAAACTTCTTAAATTTTAAGTTCCTTGGGGCTAAGTTCCTCGTGGAGAACGAAGCCAATCCAAATGTCATGAACCAATACAACCATACATCATTGTGGTACACGTTGTTTCGCAATTACAAAGATATTTTGGAGCTTTTGTTAGAGCACAATGCAGATCCCAATATTATCGATTATAACGATCAGCTGCCACTGGATAGAGCCATGGCAATTTGTTGGTTTGATTCTGCGAAGATACTCATTAAATTTGGGTAATACGTCTGC